GACATCTTGGGATATCGATATTAAATGAAGTACTTGATATTTCATTACCACATGGCATAGTCATAGACTATGCTCATGTTTCGTTGTTAAGACATTTTCGAGATGTCACTCGAACTGTTGTTGCATCATTAGCACCATCTGTGCGTGAAAAAATTGATTATTCTTTACGTAAACAGGCGTTCCCTCATTTCTTTCATAGAAAAATGAGAGGAATTGAAGATTTTTCTTTTATAAAAGCAATTGAATTGAAAAACTTGTTGTTGTATGGCTTTATACCGCATTTTATACATTATTTAACAATTGATCAATTATGTTTTTTATCACTATTAGTTATTGGTATTCGTCTTCTTCATGCCGACAATGTTTTTAAACCTATCACAAGTGCCACAGCAAACAATTTACTTTGTCGATATTATGCTGATCATCATATATATTTTTTTCATCATGCAAATCTCGTTTTACATTTACATCAACATTTTCAGGACATTTATAAATGTCATGGTCCTTTGTCATCGGTCAATACTTTTGCTCAAGAAGATTTTATAGGATACATTTCGAAAAATAAAAATGGAACCACGTCCTTTCACAATTTATTATCGTATTACTATAATATTGATATCTTATTAACAAATTTTAATGAAAAAAAAAAGTGTGCGGTTGATGGTAAGTTAAACTTCAGCACTTTCGAACAAGAAAAAAAAGAGAAATGAGAAGGTCAGAGAAAAAATGACCATTAACTGCCCCTAGGTAATAAAATCTGTAGGATCATTGTATTGGATTATATATTATTTTATATTAAAAATCTTAATATTTTTCTTTTTGTCTAGGTCCATTAGATTTATTTTCACTGGCATACAATCATCCATTATTTGGTGAATTATTTGATTATCATCAGCAAATGTGTAATTGTAATAATTACAATATGTGTATTAAAACATATCGTCGATGTCGTGTATTAAAACAAATATTTCACTCTCTCCAGTATACAAAACGTAAAAATACAATTAGTTACTTCGTACAATATCTCTTCCTCTCTGATCAAACTGAATTTGGTACAATTAAAATATTTTTTCAACATCATGGACAAACATTTGCTTTGATTCAAAATTTTCAAGTGATCAATGCATTTAGTGATTATTTAAAGGAAAGTCGTTATTATGATTTACTTAAACAGCCAATAGATAGTTTTTATTTTGTTTTAAAGAAAACAAATATTAATCGAATTGTTTCAGTTGAAAAAATTAAAAAGCATTTGATAATATTTGAAGATGCTTTAGGAAAATCACATGTTCTTACTACTCCCGTTTCTTCGATGACTGAACATGATTGATTAAGTCTTTTTCATTATTATTAGAAATTGTTTGTTGTGGTCATTTATTTCATATATTGATGTTTGAACTATTAAACGTGTTATTTTATTTTTATTATTTATGATTACGTAGCCAGAGTGATTTCTTCACCGTTTTATACCTTTTCTTCTATTATTGCTTTTTCTATTATTAGTAATACCTTCCTCAGAATATCTTGCAAAGAAGTATTCCAAAAATCATTTCAAAAAGTTATTTCGTAATTATTCAACATCAAAAGATATTGAAAAAATTTGTGCTGAAGATTTTCAGAAATTTCTATATTAAGACAAGTTTTTTATTCATCATGTTGTTTTTTAACTTGCTTCAGATTTTGAAAATGTTTCAATTACAAAACTCTACACAAAATACAACGCACCGAAAAAACTCGAGTCAAGCATCAAGTCAAATGAGATCAACTCAGATGTTTGAAGCTAAAAATAAATCCAAGCCAAAATCAACAAACGGTGAGGAACTTTTTTCAGTCTAACTTAATTTACATTTTTTGCATTGTTTCAGAGAATTTCGATTTAACTCAAAAAAAGAAACAAAAACAAAGTGATTTCTTCTCAAGTACTTATTTATTATTTTGAGTAATTTTTTTTTTTTACCATCACTTTTAGATCAATCTGTTTCCGTTCGTGTTGATCAACCATCAATGCTTACAATAGCGCATGGCACCCAGAGAGTACAAGATAATACAGGTAAGAGCTCATGATAATATTTTAACCTTCATCGAGGAACAAAATACTACGATATTTTCTTGGACAAGAAAGAGTTGCAATTCTGGAGCTTCTTATAGAAACGCAGAAGCACATCACCAATTTATTCGTTGAAAACATTAATTCAACATTTAAGTAAGAAACGAAACAAAATCGAAAAAATGAAGCTAATTTCTATTAATTATATATATATTTAATGATTAAAATAATAATATTATTTTAATAGAGCTTTCGGGCTTCAATCGGCCCATCATCAGTATTAATATGTACAAGTCCTATTTCATCATATTATTTTCTTTTTATGATTATTTTATTTAAATTCGAAGTTCAATAGGCAAAAATACAACATCATGCTGAATTATTACTGATGATGGGCCGGTTGAAACCCGAAAGCTCTATTAAAATAATATTATTATAAAATCATTAAATATATATATATAATTAATAGAAATTAACTTCATTTTTTCGATATTGCTTCGTTTCTTACTTAAATTATATGTACAAGTCCTATTTCATTATATTATTTTCTTTTTATGATTATTTTGTTTAAATTCAACATATTTTCTTTTTCTTAGCTGAATTCAGTGTTTATCGTGCTCGTCGTTCTCGGGGTAATCAAGATTCTATGACAAAAGTTAAACAAAGTCAATCGGTTCTTCGTCAACAATCAATAAATACAATAAATGTACCTGATGATGATGAAAATGAACTCGGTAAAATTTTAAAAAATCTTGAAAACTTTATTTTTTTTTTGTAAGGTTTTGATCCACATCAACATATGCAACACAATGATGATAAACACGATTTGATGGAAGAACAGGTGAATCAAAATAGAGTTCGAACAGATTTATATTTTAATGATAATCGAAACAACATGCGTTCTTACAACTTGTTCGATGAAGAAAATGATCAAGATTTGGATGAAGAAGGTAAGTGATCTATTCAATAATAAACACACATTATCATAAAGAAATAAATTGACGTCCGATGTTTACCACCACGAAATTTATATAAGTGCCTTTTGAAGTTTTATATTCATTAAATCTTAGGTGACAACATAAGTGACCATCAACCACAGTATCAAAACTACTTCAACAATAAATTTGATCAATTGCGAGCTGGTACGTAGATTCTACACTCAAATAATTTCATCTATCAATAAATTCCTCTTTGAAAAGTGCACTTTATTGCCCCAGAGATACATAAACGCCCTTAGCAGTCTTCTGATAAAACCGACTTTATGTATTACTTAGATTTGGCGAATGCAACAAACAATTTATCAGGTGATGTTCAGACACAATTAAACAGGATAGATAAACAGCTCAGAAGTTTATCCAAAAGTGTACAAGATAATACAGTAAATTCCTTCAATTGCCCCAATCCAATTTAACCAATATTTCTTCTTTAATAGATTAATCCTGCTATAGCCAGTTATCAAAATCTCTCGCATAATTATTCGACAGTTGTGGTATGCCATTATATTAATCTCTTTTCTACTCTAAATAAATATGATATTTTTCTTGGAAGCCTTTTAATGGAATCAATTTATTAAATGTTGCCAAGGCAGCTGATTATAAAAAATATGCAAGAACAATATTACAAATACTATTTACAGTTGATGAACTCAGCGATTCAGTCTTGATTGCTAATCCAATTTATACTAAACCTGGATTAGATCCAACAAAAATGGCTAAATGGACAGGTATGTGAACATTTCTTCAACACTTTCAGAAATACATACAAATAATATATATTCAACGAAGCATACCTCGATACAAAACACACCGAATGCGAGACCAACAAACCTTGCATAAATCTTTCGTATCCTAAAATATCAATACGAACGAACGCAAAAATTTCTATCATGCCCTTCGAAACAAAGACTACAACTTCTATAAATTATTGCAATTATAATAAATCACCACATCTAATCAAAGAGTTTTGATCGACCTATCCATCTTTTCAAAACCTTGTCGAGATATCGCTACTTTTGATAATTTGACGTCTACGCTATCTCTATCATACTGACGATTATTTAGACTATAAGTAGAGATACACCTTCCCATATAAGTATTCCAATATTCCTACGTATATAATATACATGTGCATCTATTCCATTATCTATATCAATTGATATACACTTTTTCATATTTCTAGATGCATAATATAGACAAATCTTATCGTTTTCACTATATCAATAGAAACAGGTTATTTAATATTTGTGTATTTTCAATATACATGTCTATGCATTGTATTCACTATATCAATGGATATACATTTTTCAATTTTTTTATATGCATGTTATAGATGACTATTATGCTTTGGACCATATCAATAGATATAGGTTTTCGAATATTTCTATATGTGAAATATAGATCTCTATGCATTATTTTCACTATATCAATATATATAGATTTTTCACTGTTTTTATATGCATGTTATAGATGACTATTATGGTTTGGACCATATCAATAGATATAGATTTTCGAATATTTCTATCTGTGTAATATAGATCTCTATGCATTGTTTTCACTATATCAATATATATAGATTTTCGAATATTTGTATATGTGTAATATAGATGTCTATCCTTTGTTTCACTATATCAATACATATAGATTTTCGAATACTTCTATATGTGTAATATAGATGTCTATGCATTATTTTCACTATATCAATATATATAGATTTTTCAATTTTTTTATAACTATATTAGAGATGACTGTTATGGTTTGGACCATATCAATAGATATAGGTTTTCGAATATTTCTATATGTGTAATATAGATGTCTATGGATTATTTTCACTATATCAATCTAAATAGATTTTTCAATGTTTTTATATGTATATTATAGATGACTATTATGGTTTGGACCATATCAATAGATATAGGTTCTCGAATATTTGTATATGTGTAATATAGATCTCTATGCATTGTTTTTCCCTATATCAATGGATATACATTTTTCAATTTTTTTATATGCATGTTATAGATGACTATTATGATTTGGACCATATCAATAGATGTAGATTCTCGAATATTTCTATATGTGTAATATAGATCTCTATGCATTATTTTCACTATATCATATATATAGATTTTCTAATATGTCTATATGTGTAATATAGATGTCGCTGCATTATTTTCACTATATCAATATATATAGATTTTTCAATGTTTTTATATGTATATTATAGATGACTATTATGGTTTGGACCATATCAATAGATATAGGTTCTCGAATATTTCTATATGTGTAATATAGATCTCTATGCATAGTTTTCACTATATCAATGGATATAGATTTTTTTGAATTTTTTTACATGTATATCATAGATGACTATTATGGTTTGAACCATATCAATAGATTTAGGTTTTGGAATATTTCTATATGTGTAATATAGATGTCTATGCATTGTTTTCACTATATCAATATATATATAGGTTTTGGAATATTTCTATATGTGTACTATAGATGTCTATCCTTTGTTTCACTATATCAATATATATAGATTTTTCAATTTTTTATATCTGTATTATAGATGACTATTATGGTTTGGACCATATCAATAGATATGGGTTGTCGAATATTTCTATATGTGTGATATAGATGTCTATGCATTGTTTTCACTATATCAATATATATAGATTCTTCAATTTTTTTATATGCATATTATAGATGACTATTATGGTTTGGACCATATGAATATATATAGGTTTTCGAATATTTCTATATGTGTAATATAGATGTGTATGCATTGTTTTCACTATGTCAATAGATATAGGTTCTTTGATTTTTCTGAATTTTTAATGCTGATTTCTATACATTGTTTTGACTATATCAATACATAGTGGTTTTCCAAGATTTCCATATCCATAATATAGATGTCTAGGTATTGTTTTGACTGTATCAAATGATATACGTTTTTCAATATTGCTATATCCATAATATAGATGTATTGTTAGTTTTATTATCTCAAGCGATGTGTTTTGAGATACATGCGATGATTGTGGGAAATGTTTAATTAGTCTTTAATTTTTGTCTAGAAGCGGTTTCTTCCCGATTCAAAATTGATCCTATGCGATTTGATGATTTTTTCCGGACGTGCCTCAGACGAACTTTGGCACAAATGTTATGTGATACTCGTCGTAAACGCAAACGGTTAATGAAAAATATTGGTGCTCAACGTCACTCTGCTCCAACATCGGCTCAATCAGATCGTGGTATGGTAGGGTCGCAGTCTGTGGCATCAGCTAGTCCAGTCATGGAAGCTGGACAACAAGTGCAGAATCGAAATGTTCTTCATTGATGGGTGATTGTACGGTGGCGAGTGAGGTAAGATTTCTCAAAAAATAATCTTATTTTCATTGAAGATGTCGTGTATTCGTTTAGGTCATGAGAGATAATTGGTTTTTACTTGTTTTCATATTTGTTGGTATTTTTTGTGGTTTTTATTCGCCTTTCGTAAATTCTGCTCCCTTTTTATGCTTGTCTTTCTTTTTTCTATTTGTCTTGTTCATTATTTTTGGTCTAAGTAGGATATGTTAATTTTTGTCATTTGTACTTTTTTGAGAAGATTTTTGTGTCGGTTGTGTCCTCGTCTGAGATCGCTGAGTTTGTCATTAGAAAGAAGGTAAATGTTTTTTCCTTTTTTTGTTGTAAAAACACGAGGTCATGAGTAATATAGTATTCTTTTACTGGATTGAGGTTATAATCTTGTTTTTTGTCATATATTAGATTTATCGATAGAGAGAAGTTTACTTCTCTAGTGTCTATCAGAAAATGTATTATTGCTGTATTTATTGTGTGTTAGTCGATGATGTTTTTTTTATGTATTATGTGTGCTTGTTGCTATTGTTTTATTCGTTTTATTGAGAAACTATTGCTTTTGGATTATGTATTAGAGAATGAGGTTTATAAATAAAAGTTGTTTTGGTGATATGAAGTCCATTTTAATTATAATTAAGGCATCAAAACACAAAACCATTACTAATACGAGTGTGTGTCAAAATCCAGACAAATCATACTATATAACCTTGCCTGATCATATAAGATCATGCTGTTGAATCTTACACGTAACTTATAGTCAGTCTTGATACAAGATTGCGTGAACCACGATTTTGCGTACGGTTTTTCGTATGATCATGTCTGAACTTATACGATCTTATTCTAATTTCGTATCTGATCGTACAGGAATCTTTGATGGATCTTACTGTCTAATTTGTCGACCTGGGCATTTGTTAATCTCCGCATCCCACAAGATATTTCCTGGAGACTTTCATTCAGAATCTGATGGAATCTTGCAGTAAAGTAACTCATACAGGCTTGTTGGATTTTATGTCAAGATTATATAAAAATCTTTATACACATAAGATCTTATCAGATTTTACTCGATCTGACATCTGACTTCTAGAGCTAGGAAGAAAAAAACCGAGATTCAAAAAGAAAACTTGAATACCAATTCTAGTTTTTTCACGATTTTTAGATGCCAGAATCTGTTCGTGTAAATGCTTTTCAAAGGTTTTCCGAAGTTTTGGAAACCTGTGAGAGTCTCAAAAGAACTCGGGAGCGGATGAAGATTTCGCAGTATACCTTTCTAAGATTCAGGAACCTCGGAAATCTTTTGGTTTCCAATAAAATACTTCGGAAAACGTTTGGGCTCTGATAAAAGACTTCAGAAGCCGAAATAGTATCCTCGGATACCTCTTCGGGTACTATATCAAATTTTCCAGTAAAATCGGCTTCCAAAAATACCTTCACTGTTTCCGAAGAGATTAATGGATTCTGGAAAATACCGTATGTGTATTCCAGAATACTTTTAGACTATTGAAAATGGTATTTTCGAAAGCCTATTGGTTTTCGAACCTTTGAAAACCAAGAAGATATTTTAGGGAATGTTTCAAAAGGTCAAAAACCTTTCCGGAAATCTTGAAGAGTTTCCCAATGGGTTTTCGATGGCATCTTGTTTTCCCAGGAAACGGATTCTTTTTAGAGTGTAGACTTAAACTCACACTCAGAGCCGCATCCGCTCCTCCACGCCACATCCACATCCAGATTTATGCCTCACGCTTCCACTCATATCCACAGACAGTCTCTTCTCAGTATAGAAATGTGCATTATGCAGGGTGTTCCAAAAGTTCGGTCGAAAAGTTTACGTCAATATCTCTTATACAATTCAAGCGATTTAATTGCCTTTTTTTTAGTATAATAGTGTATTCTTTTAAGTTTTATTTCATGTAATTTGGTATACAACAAATATTCAAAATAATTATCTTCAACTGAATTACACAAAACCATCATTTTTCAAACATTTAAAAAACATTGCAGAAGGTTTATTTTTGGAATTAATTTATTTCCAGTGTCGACTCTCGTTTTGAATTTAATTAAATCTTTATATATGTCGTATACACATTGGTTTTCACTTCATATTTATCGATAAACGATTCAAAATGAAAAGCGGTATCATCTGAAAAGAGCAAATTCTCTTGATTGTTGATGTTTTCTAACATGGGTATCGAGGTTATATAACTTCAACTCGATCTTGTGAACCTTCTTCGTGAATTCTTGGACAAATTATACCTCGGCTGGCTTCATTGGAATATATTCAGTCATAATTCGGTGTACTGTTGTTTGTGGAATGAAATAGTCTACTGCAATAACCGAAACATTCGATAGTGGCTCATTTTCACAAACATCATGAGCTTCGTTGAGTTTATCTTCTGTAATTTCTAAAAATCTTTCAGAGAGTTGTCTATTTGCTGATGCACTAGTTGTACAAAGGCATTAAAAATTTCTCTAATACAGAACAAGTCTGGCCATTATATGCCGAAATCGACTTGCACTTTTCGTTTCATTACGAAGGATATTTAAAATTTGGTCATCAACGAAATTATTTTTATTCTAATGTTCATAGACATCGATATGTATACCAAATTACATGAAATAAAACTTAAAAGAATATACTATCATACTATAAAAAAGGCAATTAAATCGCTTGCATTGTATAAGAGATATTGACGTAAACTTTTCGACCGGACTTTTGGAACACTCTGTACATATATAACATTGATTACTATCATGGAGGTTTTTTTCATGTTATTTTCTTACTTGAATTTAATCGCACATTGTAAGCTATACTGTCTACATACACGTCGATTCTTTTTCCTGGCAATCAAGCACTATCGAAGAACAACTCAGCGATAACTATGGGAACCATAGATATAGGGAGAATCTTCTTTCCTTTGTTTATAAATGTAAACAAAACGAGGAACATCTAGAATCCTATTGACAATGGATACATAGTTATGATTGAACAATAAAAGAGACAAGATATTAGTCTCATCTATTAATCGTCAGCTCAAGAGTGGGGAACGAACAGAAAATATTGTTGCGGCGAATGTATGCAGCATGTGCAATCTCGGTTGATGATAGGAAAGTGAAAATTAGGTTTCCACACTGATTAATCTTCCACACTATGAATACACGACACAAGAGAAGAGAAAAACAATAATGCATTCCGGCCCCTAGAAGGATCAAGTCGCATTTTCCGGTATTCGAACGTCTGTTCTTGAACTGATTCGAACATTAGAAACTAAAGGCATGTTCCATGGGAACCAACTTGAGCGTCATACCGATGTGTTCATGGTAATAAAAGAATGAAGCGAACTATCCTGAACAAGTAGAAATGAGAGATGAGTATAAAGAAAATAAAAATACTAAAACAAACACCACTACGAAGATTAATACTGCTAACCGACAGTCAGCATTCAAAAATCGAGAGTGAATCAGTAATATTGAACAGTAAATCATAGTACACGCGTTCATTGTGCAAAATGCCCTAGCAACAAAAAATCATTACTTTGTAGACGGAATTCTTTATCAAGTGATTTTATTGGGTTGTTTTGATTTTCTGATTCAAGAAAAAAGCATGCTAGATTAATGTTAGTCTCAAAAGTCTCGTCAAAGTCTTAGCGGTTAATTGTTCAAGTCATCTTTGGTATTCCATAAAATAATACTATAGTATTAATCACTTGGCCATTTATAATTTCTGCCATCTAACAGCTCGCCAGTCACGGTGGCCATTGAGCCGACAAGAATTGGAACATTGTGTCTTTTAAAAGGATTTGAACCAGTAGTGAAGAATAAGAAACTCAAATTGCCAGTACATGTTTTGAAATCTCTTGAAAATGTAAGATGATAAGTATGAGTAGCTATGGCACCATTGCTCCTTAATACTGGAACTGCATCTGTTTTGTAAATGTAGCCAATGTCGGTTAGCTGAACAAGATTTCTACCCAAACATTTGTAGTAGCCACTGTGTAAGCCAAGTTGAACTTCTATACCGAATGATGGTGCACTATTACCATTAGCTATATTCTGGGCCTCGAAGAACATATCGTTGTTTAGAAATGTAATCAAACTATACGCTGGCTGCAGACCCGATACAACAATTTTCATCTGATAAATCTTGTTGACCAGTTTATCGCAATTCCAATGGTCACAGGTCACAATAAAAACAAGTGACAAAACCAATAAAATAATAAACTTCTTCTGCATAGTTTCAATTCAAGCACGTTTTGATCTAAATAGAGCATTCGTTAGAAAGTTGATCAAAAAAATGGATCCATTTTCATGTATCAAGACCGTACTGATATTTACAAAGCAAACCAATCGAACAGCAGACACTAGAGCGATGAACAAAGAGAATTCTTTTTGCTTTCTAAGAAACAAAAGAAAATTAAAGATTTTTGCTGCACATTGAGTGTCTGCAAAATAAATATGTCACCGGCCACTCATGCTATGGATCTATGAGCAACGAACAGAAACAAATAATGAGTTCAAAAACCATTCATCTATCAGTCTAGAATTATTTTGTTTCGTCTCCTAGGCCAATAAAGTAAGTTAGAAACCTTAAACCTATACTATAATGTTACGAACTATCTTCAGGATAGTTTCATGGGATGTGAAATACTTTATGCAAATGACTTCTCTAAATCGGCTAATATATTCCTTATCTTGTAATGTTTTACGAATTACCAATATGAAACACAAATTGGAGTCTGTCGATCTTTCAATTCTGAGTTCTTTGTATCATCAGTTTTTGGCACTTTTCTAACACCAGAAAATAGACGCAAAAACGTTATTTATATTTAAAAATAAATATAAATTATGAAAAAAAAAATTATATTTAAAATAAGTTTAAAATACTGATAATCCAATTTAAGTATAACTTAAACAGAAGGTAAATAGAAATTGACATCCTAAATCGAAGTAGTAGATTATTTTTTTCAATTGATTCAGGAATTTGAATCAAATTTAATCCAATTATTCTGGAAAATGCCAGTGTCTCATAAGAAAAATGAGATTTGTAAACATATAACGAAAAATAATACTGATTTTCTTAGATATATTTTCGCTGAAAAATAAAAGAATACTAAATGGTTCTATTTCTATGTCGGCACTCTGAAACCAGATTGGCAATCCATGTTCTAAATGCATTTTGAATGAGAGTGACTCTACAATACCCAATCTTAGTTGTTCATTTCGTAGAGAATTTTGAAATGCTTTCGTTCCGAGTAAAACAATCGTGAAGAGAAGAAAATAACACTGCACAAAATTAGTGCTTCAACTACCAGATAGAAAAATCTGCTTGATAGACATTACAAGAAAGACAATAGGCAGACACAGCACTTTCAAATAACATACACTTGCTCCTTGTATTGGTGCTGAATCTTGTTTGTGCACGACCAGCTTAATAGTGGAATATAACGGCGTTGTTTTATGAGCGAGAATAAAGCATTATTTCGCCTATTTATAAATGGAGAGTTACTTTACATTATGCGTATTCATCCATATACATCGACTCTATAAATAACGCATATCTACCAATTTTTTTTTCTCCCTCAAAAAAGAACGCCTGACTTTTTTTTCGCTCTATCGAACACGCTTACAAATGCGCGATCGACGATAATCAACCATCAACGAAATGGATGAAAAAATGTGCGTCATATCACAGCTTCTTTTGTTTTTTTTTCCAACAATTGCATACTATACACAAATATCGACTTCATACTAGTGGTAGTTGACTGCTAGATAGCAGGATTCTAGTGGAGCCAATCCTCAAACGTCCACTTTACAAGTTACGGGATCCACCAATTTTGAAGATAGTTTCACATAGAATACAAATATGAATTTAAGTTCCGCTGTACATCGTCGTATCAAAGCAGGACATGGCTTAGATCGTAAAACAATAACATCAACCAGTTCTCGTCCTGATTCCGATCCCAGTATCAATGCCACACATGGCTTTACTTCTGGCTCGAAAGCCATAACCAATTCCCGTCTCACGTTCCATCTCAATTTCGATGAGGGACACGTCTACAGTCTGGACACTAGTACCACTAGTACTTCTTGTCCCGGATCGGCTCTCGTAATCAATCCGGCAGCCAGCTTCAACGCTCACGCTAAAGCCACAACTAAGGCACCTCCCAGCGGTTCCAAAGCTGATATCAGTGTAGTGCTCTACTTCACGCCGCTCATGAAACCACTACCAACTCACATACCCACTCGGGCCTTGATATAAATGTGAAATATCGCTTCAGCTGCAGTCCTACAGCCATCGTCCCCTCTCGCCCGGATTTCGATTTCATCATTTGCCCATTTCTAATTCAAACATAAATGAGGGCCTTATATCATTAAGCTAAATATAAAATAAAGGAAAAACCTCAACTTGGCACTGTTATATAAGAATCATGAGAAGTGAAAGCCAGAAGTTTAACCTCAATCACAATTGATAATTCGAATTGACAGTATTTTGTATAAGAATAACAAAAAGTCAAAGTGAAAGGCTTTATTTGAATGATAATTTATAATTCAAATTGCCAATATTTTATTTAAGTATAGCCGAAGTGAGAGAGAAAGGTTATTTGTCAATTATAGTTTATAATTGGAATTCGAACTATTCGATATACTATCAGCGAAAACGGAAAGCCAAAGCTTTTGTTTGGATAAGAATTCATACTGCTTATTTGCAGTGTTTTCTAAAAGAATAGCTAGAACGCAAAGCAAAAGCTCTTATCTCAATTATAATTTATAATGTGAATTCAGAGCGTTTTATATAAAATCAAGCACAATGGAAAGCCAGAATTTTTCTCTCGGGTGTGGCTTGTGTTCGCAATCCGGATTGGTTTATGTAATAATAGCCAAAGGCCTAAGCCAAAGTTTTTATGTCAATTACAATTTACAATTCGAATTGACAGTACTTTATATAAAAGGAGGCCCAAGTCAGAAGTGAAAGGCAAATGTTGTCTATGAGTTATATTTTCTATTTCTCATTGGTATGACTTTATATAAAAGTAGTAGAAACAAAAGCCAAAACTTTTCTCTCCGTCATAGTTTATGAATTCATTAGTGATTGTTTTATATGAAAATAGGCGGAAGACGAAAGCATAACCCTAAATTTTTATGTCAAACATTATTTACAATTTCGAATCGGGCCTAATTTATACAAGAATGGAAAAAATCAAAGGCAAAAAGTTTTATCTTCAGCATAATTTGTAATTCGAATGCAGAATATTTTATAGAAAAGCAGTGAAAAGCGGAAAGTCAAAAGTTTTATCTAAATCGAAATTTATAATCCGAAGTGGGACTATTTTATATAAGAATACTGAAATGCCAAAGCTAAGAGTTTTATCCTAATTATATTTTATATTCGGAATCGGAACTATGTTATATATAAGTAGCCAAAACTCAAAAGCAAAGTTTTTCTATCAATTATAATTTTCAATTGGAATGGATACTATTTGTAACATCTAATTAACAGCAAAATTTTCGCTTTGCCTTTTCGCTATTTTTATGTAACAGAATACCCACTCTAAATATAAATTGTAATTGAGAGAAAAGGTTTGACTTTGACTTTTGTGTTTGGCTATTATTATTTAAAATAGTCCTGATTCAAGTTTTCAATTATAACTGAAAGAAAAATTTTGGCCATCGCTGTTGCATATCTTTGCACAAAATAGTGTCGATTTTCGTTTTAAATTATGATTGAATAAAAAAGTTTGACTCTGGATTTTGGCTATTCTTTCATATAAGACTCCTAATGCAAAATATAAATAGTAATTGAGAGAAATATATTGGCCTTGGTTTTAGGGATGTTTATATATAAAATAGTCCGAGTTTCATTTTTCAGTTCTACCCAGGTCTATCAAAACGATTTCGTTTACGACCCGATAACGGACCGAAAATTTTGTAAAAACGGAGCATTTACGGCTATATATGGATTCCATACGATCCGTTTTCGATCCGTATTGAACCGTATTATCTGACGCAGAAATTCGGACTGTATTGTATCCGTATTGTAAACTGACCGTATTTGGCCGTTTTTTCAAACTTTACGAATGAAATATCGTCATGTGTATTTCACCGTATTCTCAGCGTTAACGCCTGTTAATATACCTAATTATACTCGTTTACGGCTGTTTTATTACGATTCTTCCAATATTGATTTTACTACTAAATGCAATCATGGGTTCACGTTCTCATTTACAGCTCCAAAAAACTAATCCATTCGAGAAGAAATTTTGTAGAAATTTAAATTTATCATAAACGTAAACATAGAAAAATCAATTACAATTTTATGGGACTTAAGTTCAAAAAGAATTTTGGCCTTAAAACATCTAATATCGAAATGATATTAAATTCGGGACATTTACATTGACAATAAATATTAAAATAAAAATGAAGTATAAAATAAATTATAGTTCTAAAAGCGGAATATAAAGCGACGTTTAGTTTTAGCAAATCTACATAAGACCATTCAATTTAAAAATAAATTAATTATAAAATGAATTTTTAAGAATAGAAAATATAAAATAAATTTTAATTTTAAGTTATATACCATAAAGTAAATATAAATTTCAAAAATTTAATCATAACGTGAATTTCAAATAAAAGAAATACAATATAATGTAAATTTTTCGTATAAATTTTCATTTAATAAATTAAATGTAGAATGAGTTTGGATTTGGATTTCATCAAACTTTAAAAAAAATTGAATTTAAAAAAAGAAAACATTTAATTAATTTTTATTTAAGAATAGAAGATATTAAATATATTTGAATTTCAGTCGATAAAGTATGCAGTAAATTGAAGTTTTAAAAATTTAATTTTAAAATAAATTTTAACTTAAAGAAAATATATAATATAATATAATTTAATTTAAATTTTTCACATTAGTTTTTGTTGAAAAAATTAAGTATTCAATGCATTTCGGTTTAAATTTTAGCAAATTTAAATAAAAAAGAATTAGTTTAAGAAATTAAATATATAGTGAATTTCAGTTGACAAGAAATGTCATAAATTCCGAGAAGACAAAAAATATCCGAAAAAGATTT